CATATATGAAATACGACTTGACATTATCGAGTAGGCTTAGCTCATGGCAACGTTTTTTTCCGAAAGCACCCGCAGAAATCTCTCTTCTTTCTAGTTTGTAAATGTTTCAGAGATTATGGGGGAAGGGGATTCTATGAATCCCAGACACTGCGTGAGGCAGATTTGGTTTCAGTGATTTTAGCATCGTTCATTGTAAAGGATGATCCCTAGGAACTTCTTCACAGTGAGAAACCTGAAAGTTTCCAGCAGCCAGCAATGAATGAAAGGTGGGGCGGGGCCGCTGGCAGGGCGGGGCCTAGTGAGCCATGTGCCTGTGCTCTCAAGTTCCAAGTTTGTGGGGAGGCAAGCAGGGGATTCTGGACCTGATTGTTTCCTCTGAACCAGGATGCGTTCTGGTTGGCAGGGCAACTGGCCTTCACTTGGTGGCCTTCAGCGGATGCCCTCATTGGTTGCCTTCGGTTTGTGTCCTCAGTTGGTACCCTCAGCTGGTGGTCTTCAGTTGTTGGGCAGTGGTGGAAGGAGGATGAATCCGTTTGTGCTCTCTCCTCCCCCCAGTCACAGCTCTCAGGTTTATTGCATCCAGGCCCTTCTAAAATAAACCAGACAGGTTGGCAGGGTTTTTTAGCAGACAAGTCAGGTCATGCTATGGGGCTGACACGGGGTGAGGACTGCTAGCGCATTGCTGCCCCATGGCCCAGGGCTGCCCATGTCAGCAATGCTTTTGCCAGGAAGAGGTGAGAGGTGTTCAGCTCTGCAGAATTGGGAGCAAGCGAAGGCCCAAGCTGCCTGAGAAGAGCAGAGTTTACCCCATGGGGTCCACAGTGAACTGTCGCATATGCATCAAAGCCAGCCCTAATGAGGGCTGGCACAAGCATTCTTCAGAGCCAGCCTGTGGCTCTGACGTCTACTAGGATGCAGACAGCGAAGATGTAGGCCGGGATATACAGGAGCAGAGGCGCCCGGAACACGCTGTTCCCCAATGCCAGCTGCAAGCCGAGCTATCTCAGCGTGCGATGGGTGAAACTGTCCTGCAGCTCTGAGATCCATGAAGTGGAGGTGGTAGTAGCGCCGGACTCCACTGCTTTGGAGGCTGCCCAATCGAATTTGGGAGCCAGCGAGGGTCCTGACAGCAGCACATTGGCCACCAGAAGACACCGAAAGGTAGGGAGGCGACGGATACTGTTTAAATTCAGGAGCTCCTCTGGCCATTGCTGGCCCAAGGTTCCCCAGAGGCATCCAAAGCCTCAGTTTTCTCATCCATAAAAGATGTGATTGTTATGAGGCTTCCATAAGGTAAATGTATGAAAACCATGGCAAAAATGTTTGTAATTTAAAAGAAAGGGTTTCTATGAGGCTTCTATAAGGTAAGTGTGTAAAAATCTGGATACAATACCTATAATTTAGGTCACTGTAACCTCTGCCTTCTGGGTTCAAGCAATTCTTCTGCCTTAACCTCCAGAGTATCTGGGATTAGAGGCATGCGCCATCAGGCCCAACTAATTTTGTTCTTTTTAGGAGAGACAGGGTTTCACCATTTTGGTCAGGCTGGTCTCAAACTCCTGGCCTCAGGTGATCTGCTCACCTTGGTTTCCCTAAGTACTGGGATTACAGGCTTGAGCCACCATCTCCGGCCAAAAATTTGGTTTCTTGATCAACAATCCTGTTTCTAAGGAGATGCTTGTGGTCTAAATATGCAGATTCCCAGTCATTTCCAAGAAGAAGGGAAGGACTGCAAGGCAACCTGGGAGGGAGTTTAGGATTGTTCTGAGGCCATGAAAACCATCAAAGTTCATACATAAGAGGGTAGAGAAAGGGGATCCACATGTCTTGATCCCTCCATATACTGGGTATATCTTGGTCTTCATTAAGTTTGCACCACCTTTGGCATCAGAGACAACTGGATTTGAATCCAAGTTCTAACACTTATTAGGATGTGATCGTGAATGTGTTTTTAACTCCTCTGAGCCTCACTTTGCTTATCTATAAAAGATGGGATTCTTATGAGGCTTCCGGAAGGTAAATGAGGAAGAATTTGGGTGGGCAAAATGCCTGTAATTTAAAAGATAGGATTGTTATGAGGCTTCGACAAGGTAAGTGTGTAAAAACCTGGACACAATGCCTGTAATTTTGTAAGTGTTAAATATATAGAGAAGGATTATTTTTCTCTCATTTAATTTTTAGAGCAAGTTTATAAAATGGTGTTACTCATCCTTTTGAGATAATCAAAGCAAGGATCACAAAGATTAAATGAGTCACCATAGTCACAGAGCAGTTTACAATACATTTAGTGGGTAATTGCCAGCTAAAAGTAGCAATGATGATCACATTTAAAATCTTGCATTATGTGGTGCTTTTCTCTTACATAAGCCTCTTTTTTTGTTCAAGGCATAGATTCTAAGTTGCTGTATCAAAATGATCACTAGAAAACTGTGATATACTTAGTGTATAAATTTTAGAAAATGTATTCTATTACTCTTGTTAATTTGATTGAATATGTGTGTTATTTTCAAAAAATGTAAATGGAATATGTGTGGATTGAATATATATGTGTATATATATGTGAAATATGATTTGACATTATAGTGTAGGTGTAGCTCATGGCAATGTGTTTTTCTGACAGCAGCTGCAGAAATCTGTCATTTTTCTAGTTTGTAAAAATCTCAGAGGTTATGGGGGAAAGAGGGTTTTTTGAATCCCAGACAGTACATGAGGCAGATTTGGTTTCAGTAATTTTAGCATCATTCATTGTAAGGGATGATCCCTAGGAACTTCTTCACAGTGAGCAACCTGAAAGTTTCTAGCAGCCAGCAATGCATGAAAGGTGGGGGAGGTCCACTGGCAGGGTGGGGCTTTGTGAGCCTGGTGCTTGAGCTCTCAATTCCAAGCTAGGGGGACACATGCAAAGGATTCTGGGCCTGATTGTTTCCTCTAACCAGTATGTGGTCTGGTTGGCAGGGCAACTGGCCTTCAGTGGGTGCCCTCATTGGTTGCCTTCGGTTAGTACCCTCAGTTGTTTCTCTTTAGTTGGTGGTCCTAGTTGGTGGTCTTCAGTTGTTGGGCAGTCGTGGCAGGAGGATGAATCCGTTTGTGCTCTCTTCTCCCCCAGTCACAGGTCTCAGGTGTGTTGCATTCAGGCCGTTCTAAAATAAACCGGAGAGGTTGGCAGGTTTTTTTAGCAGACAAGTCAGCTCAGGGTACGGATGCGGGCTGCTAGTGCAATGCTGCCCCATGGCCCAGGGCTGCCCGTGGCAGTGATGCTTTTGCCAGGAAGAGGCAATAGGTGTTCACCTATGCAGACTCAGGAGCAAGCCAAGGCCCATGCTGTGCCACGTGGTCCACACTGAACTGTTGAATATTCACCAAAGCCAGCCCCGATCAGGGCTGGCACGAGGGTTCTCAACAGCCAGCTTCTGACTCTGACATCTACGAGTGTCCAGACAGCAAAGACACAGGCCGCGACATACAGGAGCAGAGGTGCCTAGAACACACTGTCGCCCAATGCCAGCCATAAGTGGGGCTATCTCAGGGTGCGGTGGGTGAAACCGTCCTGCATCTCAGAGATCCACAAGGTGGAGGTGGCAGTAGCGCTGGACTCCACTGCTTTGGAGCCTGCCCAGGAGAAGTTGGGAGCCAGCAAGAGTCCTGACAGCAGCACATTGGCCACCAGAAGACACCCAAAGGTAGGGAGGTGGCAGATACTGCTTAAGTTCAGGAGCTCCTCTGGCCGTTGCTGACCCAAGGTTCCCCCAGAGGTGTCCACAGCCTGGGGCTCCTTCCTCCTGCCCAGCGTTTGCTTTCCTATGCCCAGGCCCCAAGCAGGAGGACTGGCTCTGCCTGGAGTCCTCCCCCCTTCTTCTTTCCCTGCTGTGTCCAACTGGTTTCTTACTTTCCTCCTGCCTACCCCAATGCTCAGTTCTGTTTCCTCTTCTTCCCCCAGGCTGGCTGAAAACTAAGTTTCAAAATACAAAATATATGCTAGAGATTTCATTGCTGTAAACGAAATGTCTGACAGCTTTTCTATTTAAACTCTGATTGTTCTCTTCATTTCTTTAAACGTTAGAATAATTAAGTCTCATCATAGATGTGCTTTTGTAACTTGAAAGTATGACAGTAAATTTGCACAATTTAAAATTTCTTCTGAATTTTTCTTTTCATAAATTTTTGGCAAACAGGTAGTATTTAGTTACTTGAGTAACTCCTTTAGTGGTGATTTGTGAGATTTTGGTGTACCAATCACCCAAGCAGTACACACGGAATCCAATTTGTAGTCTCTTAACTTTCTCCCCCTTCCCACCATTTCCCCCTGAGTATCATCCTTGTATTTGAGACTGAGTCTCATTGTGTCACCAAGGCTGGAATGCTGTGTCACGATGTCAGCTCGCTGCAACCCTTGGTTCCCAAGTTCATGTGATCCTCCTGCTTCAGCTTCCCGAGTGGCAGGGATTAGAGGTGTGGGTCACGATGCCTGACTACATTTTTTAATTGTTTTTTTGTTGTTGGTTTGTTTTTGTTTTGTTTTGTTTTTTTGAGACAGAGTCTTGCTCTGTCACCCAGGCTGGAGTGCAATGGTGCGATCTCAGCTCACTGCAAGCTCTGCCTCCCGGGTTCATGCCATTCCCATGCCTCAGCCTCCCAAGTCGCTGGGACTACAGGTGTCCGCCACCTCGCCCGGCTAATTTTGTGTATTTTTAGTAGAGACGGGGTTTCATCCCAGGATGATCTCGATCTCCTGACCTCGTGATCTGCCTGCCTTGGCCTCCCAAAGTGCTGGGATTATAGGTGTGAGCCACCACGCCCGGCCAGTTTTTTGTATTTTTAGCAGTTAGTGGATTTCACCAAATTGGCCAGTCTGTTCTCGAACTCCTGACCTCAAGTGATCCACCTGTCTTGGCCTCCCCTAGGGCTGGGAATACAGGAATGAGCCAGCAGAACCCAGCCAACGTTCCCCACCCACTTTTTTTTTCTTATGTCCTGAAGTCATTCTTTGAGTTGTCATGTAAATTAATGGGTTACTCAAATTACTGGAAAACTAGTTGAATAAATAAGCAGGCAGTTTGTGAATATTAGACAGAACAGTGGTGCCGAGCATGGCTAAAGCATCTCTGCATTCACAGGGAGAGGAGCGGAAGACCTTCTGGTGTGGGCTGGGCTGCAATTCACTTGCAGGAGAAACAGCCCGGGTGTGGAGAGGTGGCCATCCTTGGCAGGATCCTTTCTAAAGAGCCGAGAAATCAACATAGAGCCTCTTCTATCTGATTCTCTAACAACTGCAGACCTTCCATGAGTCAAGCTTTGTGTCAAAAGGACAAATTAAAAGGCAAGAAAATAAAATCTTAATACCAGGACTTTTGGGGAAAACAAAACAAACAAAAACTCACATCTAATTCCAGATTATTTCAGGGACCCACACATTTTGTCCAAATCTGTGTCTGTTGTTTCTGTGTCCAATGTACTCTTTGTTGTTGTTGTTATTGTTGTTTATCTGTTTTTCGTTTTTGTTGTTGTTGTTGTTGAGACTGAGTCTCACCCTGTCACCAGGCTGGAGAGCAGTGGTGTGATCTCGGGTCACTGCAAGCTCCCCTCCCAGGTTCACACCATTCTCCTGCCTCAGCCTCCCGAGCAGCTGGGACCACAGGCACCCACCACCACCCCGGGCTAATTTTTGTATTTTTAGTAGAGACGGGGTTCCCCATGTTGGCCAGAATGGTCTCAATCTCTTGACCTCGTGATCTGCTCGCCCTCGGCCTCCCGAAGTGCAGGGATTACAGGCGTGAACCACCGCACCCAGCCCAATATACTCTGTCGAAGACAATGTTCGAAAGTTGTTCCTGTACTCAGCATGGTATGAAACTAGATAAATACATTTTAGGGAAATCAACAATACAATTTTTTTGAAAGAAAATTGGTTTTCAAGGTTTATTCTTCAATTATCAAAAGGTTTTCAAAAGTAAAACATACTATTCCTCTCCACGATCCCAGTTAATCCAGACCCTCCTCGGTGAGCTTTATCAAATACCGAACTTATCTTCCTGAATCTTCTGCTGAATCTCCTATACAGTTTTGTCACAGAACCTCAGATTTTTTGTAAGGTTTTGTGTACCATGCCATGCCTGTGATTTGCTTTCTTTGCTTTGTTTTTATTTTTTATTTTTGTAAGAAGTAGCCGGCAAGTATCTTTCTTTGCTGTAGAGATGTAAACTGCTTTTATTTTCAGATTAACTTTCAAGAATGTTGAAAATGCTTTGCTCGCTCTTCTTTTCTCGCTTCCTCCCTCTCAGGACCTATAAAAGGCACCGCCCAGCCCAATGGACAGATGCCCCAGGCTGCACATTCTGTCAGTGCTGTTCTGCAAGAGGCCCAGACACACGCTGAAACATCCAAGGTAAAACCAGCAAGCAGCTGACATACATTCCATCAGCCGTCCCCCAAAACCCATGTTCTCAACCATTCGCATTGTTCCAATAACTGCTCTTTTAAAAAGAGAAAACAGGCTGGGTACGGTGGCTCACGCCTGTAATCCCGGCACTTTGGGAGGCCGAAGCAGGATAATTGCTTGAGCTCCGGAGTTCCAGACCAGCCTGGGCAACAGAACGAGGGCTCATCTCTACAAGAAATAAAAAAACTAGCCAGGCTTGGTGGCGTGCACCTGTGGTCCTGGCTACTTGGGTGGCTGAGGTGTCTGAATGGCTTGAGCCTAGGATTTCAAGGCTGCAGTGAGCTGTGGTCACACCACTGCACCCCAGCCTACATGATAAAGACCTTGTCTTAAAAAAAAGAAACAAATATAAAAAAGGGTTACACTAAAAATGTGCATTTTTTATTGTTCCCACTGATGTCCTACCTACATCCCCAGGGTGATGAAGGAGAAAATACGTTGTAAAATGATAGCCAATAGGGATGACATCCTCCCTAACATTTTTTCAACCAAATAGATCAATGAAGATTCACTTAAATCTATGTTAAAATCATAGCTAATAATTATGATTTAGTTACTAATCTAGTTCAAAACCTCTCAGTTGACTGTATAAATTCTGTTGAATATGTCTCATGTGTGAGTCAAAACAACCCGAAATAACTGTGAAAACAGCATGTCACCCAGCTAGAACAGGCAGGGTGCTTCACTTTAGCAATTTTTCACTTCTTTCACCCCTTCATTTTGTCCATCGGCCAGTCATGAAAACAACTAAATCTTGGTATTTATTGAACTTCTTATAATTTTGACAACCACTGCAGGCCTGTAAAAGTTGTATTTCTTTAGTGTTTTCATTATCTTCTCAAGCCTGACAATCTCTTAATGCAATGTGCTTTCAGCTATTATTATTTTCATTATTTCTATAATGCCAATCGAAGGAAAGCATTTAAAAATGCTGAAAAAAAATAAAAGAATCCCAGAATAGAAATCACTTAACTATATGTGAACACCAATACCCAAGCTGCCTGCTCAGAAATTTTTTAAAAAGGAAAATGTACATTGCCAGTTAATTAGCTTATCATGCTAAGTAAATAAACTAAAATAGAAACTAAATCAGAAGGCACTGTTAGAAAAAAAAAAACTTCCAAATTTAATTTTCAGTGTTAAGAGGCTATTAAGCAGAGGAAGAAATAAACTGGAACCCTGATGAAATGTCAATTGGAATGATAATTATCACTAAAACAGAGGGATTCAATCCAGCTGCCTGGGGACATTTCATTATATACACACAAATTATCCTTATCTATTCGAGTATTGGTGGAGGAAGGGCTATACCTCTATAAGACTTCAGCCAAATTTGGCGTTCTGGTTTCTACCAATAGCACACTGGTGATTTTTCTTTTCAGAACTCATATATGTATCTCATTTGATCTCATCACAACCTGAGACACATGTCATAATAGGGACTACTGGGCTCATTTTATACCCGGTGAACCAGCCAACTTTCATGCAGTTGAGAAAAGGTAAACTGTCTGGGTGAGGTGGCTCACACCTGTAATTCCAGCACTTTGGGAGGCCAAGGTAGGCAGATCACTTGAGCCCAGGAGTTGGAGACAAGTCTGAGCAACATGGCAAAAAACCATCTCTACAACAAATACAAAAATTAGCTGGGCATGGTGGCACATGCTTGTCATCCCAGCTACTTAGGAGGCTGAGGCATGAGGATCACTGAGCCCTAGAGTCAGAAGTTGCAGTGAGTCGAGCTTGGGCCACTGCACTCCAGCCTGGGTGACACAGCGAGATCCTGTCAAAAAAAAGAAAAAAACAAGGCGCAGTGGCTCATGCCTGTAATCCCAGCACTTTGGGAGGCAGAGGCAGGCAGATCATGAGGTCTGGGGTTCAAGACCAGTCTGACCAACATGATGAAACCTCATCTCTACTAAAAATACAATAATTAGCAGGACGTGGTGGCCAGCTCCTGTAGTCCCAGCTACTTGGGAGGCTGAGGCAGGAGAATCGTTTGAACCCAGGGGGTGGAGGTTGCAGTAAGCCAAGATGGCACCACTGCACTCCAGCCTGGGCAACAGAGCAAGACTCCGTCTCAATAATAATAATAATAATAATAATAATAATAAAGGCCATTGAGAGTCATTTCCCTATTCCAGAGCAAAGATGAGCTCATGAACAACCAGGGCTCTCAGTGACTGAGGGACGGCGGCTCCCCAGTGGGCAGACAGAGAGACTCACCTATCTATGGCATGGTCCTGTCCACTGGGGCTGTTTTGTCAAGCATAGAGAATGCTACCCAGCAGACTGAGGTGGGAGCGTTCGCTTCAGCTCAGGAGGTCGAGGCTGCAGTGGGCCCAGATTGTGCCATTGCATTCAGCCTGGGCGACAGAGTGAGACCCTGTGTCCATTAATTAATAACAATAAATTAAAATTTCAAAAATTTTAAAATAATGAAGGCTGCTGTCACTGGGTTGCAGGATAGGAAGCCAGCCCTCAGGAACCACCAGGAGCACCCCCGGCCCCACACGGCCCCAAGTCCAGCCTGCCCCTCGCTCTGGTGCAGAGGTCCTGGGACACCATCTGCAGCCCCGTCACGCCCCCCAAGGCCAAGAGCACTGGCGGCGGGGGCTTCCTCGCCCCGCCCGACGACTTCCTGCCGCCACTGCCACCGCTGCCTCCACTGGACGACCCAGAGCTGCCGCCACCCCCGCTGGAGGATCCAGAGCTCGCGCCACCGCCCCTGGACTTCATGGAGCCGCCCGCCCCCGGACTTCGTGCCCGCTCCCCCAGCGGTGGTCAAGAGGCCTCCTATGCCCCACCCTCCCAACAGGCACGAAGCATCAATGTTCAGAACCAACACATGAATAAAACAAATGAATAAATGTTAAACGTTCTTCCTACTGTATTTATACAAAGATTACGGGGCCAGTAGATCTGGAGGTCAACACTATAATTAAAAATAGCTTTCACCATCCCATGCCTTCTTAAGTCTTGGTGACCTTAGATTTTCATCTCTACCTCTGCGACCTTCAGAATTTTCAGGAAAATTGACAGAGGAAAATGAGAAAACATGACAAGCAGAGCCTGTTCCCTTGCTGAGATTCCCGTCGCTTGAATGATTGGAGCCCTGGACACAAGCTGTTTTGGTTTTGCTTCTTTAATGCTTGAATAACAGTAATTTTAAAAAACAGTTATTCAGATAATTTTTGAATTCTCTATTATTACAGCGCTGTAAGTATCCTGTAAATAAGAATGTAGGGTCAGGTAAAAGCAATCTTATTGATGTATATTTCAATCTGGAATGTCTTCCCTCAGAGATAGATTTAATGCCCAGTTTATCCTAGGCTCCTGTTACCTGTATCTCTTCTCTTTCAGATTGGCTTCTCATAGGCTAAGAGGCTATTTTCTTAAAATTAAGGAAGATAATTAATGGTATGTTTTAATATCTGGGGAAGAGTAAGCTGTAGATCATGTTGTCTCAACCCATGGGCTCCCGCAGCCCAGGACAACTTCGAATGCTGCCCGACAAATATTAACACATTGTAAGCTCTTTGCAGGGCGCGGTGGCTCACACCTGTAATCCCAGCACTATTGGGCGGCCAAGGCTGGCGGATCACTTGAGGTCAGGAGTTCAAGACCAGCCTGGCCGACACGGCAAAACCCTATCTGTGTTACAAATACAAAAATGAGCCAGGTGCAGTGAGCATGCCTGTAATCCCAGCAACTCCAGAGGCTGAGGTGGGAGAATCCTTTGAACCCAGGAGGTGGAGGCTGCAGTGAGCTGAGATCTTGCTACTGCACTCAATCCTGGACAACAGGGCAAGACTCGCTCTTAAAAAGATTATGAGATATTTTTGCATTTTTTTTTTTTTTTTTAGCTGATCGGCTATTGCTAGTGTTAGTGCATCTTATGTGAGTCCCAGGGAAGCCAAAAGATTGGACACCCCTGCAGGCTAAATGGAAATTTAAAATGAAACAAATTTAGTTTTAAAACCAAAATATTTAGTAATTAAAACTGGCAAGGTGTTCTTAATTTATTTGAGCATATGCTTGAAATAGGATGGAAGGTAAATTTGCTTTACATTAAATTTTATCTCACAAACAGTAACTTTCCACTTTTAGTATACTATGTTCTTTTGATGTCAGATAGAGTAATAATATGGTTTTTCTTTTTAAAATTCTTTAAATATTATTTTAAGTTCCAGAATACATATGCAGAACGTGCAGATTTGTTACATAGGTAAACGTGTGCCATGGTGGTTTGCTGCACCTATCAACCCATCACCTAAATATTAAGCCCAGCATGCATTAGCTATTTGTGACATTAGCTATTTGTCCGGGTTTTGTAATGGCAAACATACTCCCTGCATGACCATTCACCCCCGAACCCCCTGCAGCAACGCCCCCACCACTAGTGAATGCCTTCTCATCCCCTCTTTCAATCACTCTCTCAAATGGTTCCTAGTAGATACAAAACGTTTTTTTCTCCAATGGGAAAACAGAACACAGGGAGCCACTCAGTTTGCTCCCAGCACCCCTTTCCAGTGGCTCACCGGAGCTACCTTGGCAAGTACTCTAGGAGTATGGGAAAATGGAAACAACAAACTCATACACCTTTTTAACATACACAACCAGTTCTGTCTACCCAGCCAAGGTATATTCTTCTTATGTGGAACGTTGACCTATATCTGCCTCCCCACTAACTGGACAGGCACCTGCACCTTAGTCTTTCTAAGTCCCAACATTAATATTGCCCAAGGAAATCAGACCTCATCAGTACTCCTTAAAGCTCAAGTCCGTCAGCCATACAACTAATACCCCTGCTTACAGGGTTAGGAATGGCCACTGCTACAGGAACTGGAATACCTGGTTTATCTACTTCATTATCCTACTACCACACACTCTCAAAGGATTTCTCAGACAGTTTGCAAGAAATAACGAAATCTATCCTTACTTTACAATCCCAAATAGATTCTTTAGCAGCAGTGACTCTCCAAAACCGCCGAGGCTTAGACCTCCTCACTGCTGAGGCTGAGACCTTCTCACTCCTAGCAACTGGGACTACAGGCGCCCACCACCACACCCCACTAATTTTTTGTATTTTTAGTAGAGACGGGGTTTCACCGTGTTATGGTCTCGATCTCCTGATCTCGTGATCCACCCGCCTCGGCCTCCCAAAGTGCTGGGATTACAGGTGTGGGCCGCCGCGCCCGGCCTCTTACTATAAATTTTTTAAAACACAAATTTATTTTATAACCAATCTGTTAGAATTGCAATCTTAAAAATTACTCCAGGTCAAAACATTTAAAATCTCATCAGAAAAGTCTACCTTTCCAGACTGCTATATCTCTATGGAAAATCTTCAGTAGTAGCCTGCTGAAAGTTATCATCCCCTTACCCCCAATTAGAAATCCACATGCCTGTTCTTACTCCCCATTCTTGTCCTACCAATACTGTCTTTACTTCAATGCCACTTTGATCATTTTGTCTTACATTTGTATACAGACTTTTCAGTTTACAAGTGTTTTCACATTTGTTACAACATTATTTCATCATGCAGACCTAAGAGGTAGATACGAGCACTATTTTTATAAACAAGGTTACTGGTATTTGATTAGGTTAAATGATTTGTTCCAAGTTCCCATAGCTAGTAAGTGGCAGAACCAAAATACAGACTTATCTTTTGACATCCACTCATTGCTGTTACCACTATGCAGCTGCTGCTTCTATCTAAGTGGTGAGGCCTTTCCTATCTCTTCCACATCCACCGTTGTGACCTTGGAATCCATCACTATTATTTGACATTTATGTGGCTGCAAACCTGGCTGCCACAAAGGGACTCAAAGAGTTCTGTTTGTGAAAAGAATGTCTACTTATGAAAACACTACTCAACCGAATTGTTATTATTATAGTTTTACAGGTGTCCTATTTCTCAGTTTATCCAGCTCCTGAAATGTTCCTTCAGCTGTATACTGGATAATCAAAATATACCAATACTTTCAAGTCCCAAGCATTATCTTTTCAAGTTCCAAGTTGTACAAGACTGAGACTACAATTTAAACTCTTTCTCTCTGAATCCAATTAGAGCTTTCGTAAATCTGGAGATACACAGAATCATATATTTGCCCATAGGTGAATGCAGAGAAATTCTTCAGTTTTTAGACGAACTTAACTTCAGAACTCAAATAGATTCCTAGTGACTTCTAAGCCTTATTTTCTTTTGCACTATTCTACATTGGCTTCTTAAATTAATCCTGCAAATTAGCAGAATTGCACTATGCAATAGTTATCTAGTTGGCACATGATTATAAAGTATGGTCTGATAAATGTCTGAAAATAATTTCTTATGGACACATGCAGAGGTGACAGAATAAAGTCAAATCATCTTTTTATGTTTTAACATGACTCATTACTTATGTTTTAAAATAACAACAGCAACAACAACAACAACAACAATACACTGTACCTCAGTATTTGAAGGTCATTTCGTATCTTCTTTTTGTCCTGATTCTGATGTGGGCATCTTATCTACAAAATGTTATTCACAGACACATATATGAGAACATTTTTTACTGTAAATTGTAAAAATATATACTATATCCATTTATGAATATTTCAATAAAATAACAGTAATAGCAAAAATAGAATTTCAGGATTGAAGCAGGTTCAGGAAAAAGAATTGATAGTATGGAAAAAGATAGCAAAAAGTATTTTTTTTAAGTAGACATTATATTTGGGTCTATAAAGTTATTTTCTAAATAATAGCGTTTAAGCATAAAAATATTTTCAGAGATATTCACTGACTTACCACTTCTATTATTTTGGTATAAAAAAATAAAATTGTCATTGCTTGCTTGATTTTGTGGAGCTCGTTCAATAATGCCAATGTCATTTTCTTGTTTTCCAGTTACTGTCTTTGTTGCTCCCTCCTATTACAAACAAAAAACAAAAGCAACAAAAAAAAAAACTTCAGAAAAAAATGTATTTATTCACTCACTCAGTTTGTCAGTAAGACAAAAACACACACACACACATACATTGTATCTATCAAATCACAGGCACTATCCTGGGAGAAGCAGAAAATATATACAGAAGATAGATTCTGACCGATATTCAAGAAATGGCAGAGACATATGAACAGAAATAAAAACAGAAAAAGGTGTAATTCACCAGTTCTACAATTTAAGTCAATAAAATACATAAGGGCACAAAGGAGAGAACAATCAGTTTTACCTGAAAAGCACAGAAAATGCTACCGTAATTGGGCCATATTTGGAAGGACAAAGTGCAGAGTCAGGATACAAAGTCTAGGTGCAATAGCATGTGTAAAATAATAAGGCATGAAACAACATTGCAAATGAGGGGTGCCAAAGAGATGTGGTAAAACTGGAACACAGTCGGAGGAAATGAGATGAAGAGATAAAATGGAACCACACCATATAAGATATGTGTTACTCTGGAATGTGAACTTACCCCTTCATGTGACGGGTATCCACTCCATATGTAGATGAGTTACATTATTACAAATACATTTTGGAAAAGTGACACTTCGAGCAGTGTAAAGATAGAGGAACATGGGGAGATGCGGAAAACTAGAAAGGAGTATGTCAAAATTATAGGTAGAGAGTCAGTTATGCTAATGAGAGATGGAAGATTATAAGAAGGTAGTACAAAATTTGGTGTGTGACTGGATTGGTGACATGGAGGAGGGCTGAGGGCAGGTTGAAGTGCTTGAGTGTTTCACGGCTACTTCCTAGGTGTCATTTACTAGGGTGGGGAAACCAGATGACAGATTAGAGTCAGGAAAAGAATAAAAATGATGTTTTCAGTTTGAGACCTATAAAATTTGAGGGATCCAAGGGGCTTGGAAGAAAGAGCTGAATAAATACATTTGGAGTACGAGTAGATGACCTACATCAGGAAAATTACATGATGATAAGAAGATAAACATTTATAAGATAGACTAAATGGGTAGAATTAAATAACACAAACCTATGCAGAATGCTGATATTTTGAAAATGAAATCAAAGAAGAGAAAAAAACATGGGATTAAGTTTTTCAATTACATATTTCTACATTTGTTTCAAGAATATGATTTTATTTATATAGGTAAATATTTCTGAAATATTTTTGCAATATGTATCTTTGAATTGAAACACCAAGATTCTGGAAGAGGACTTTTATAAAAATTAACCTTGAAACTTTTAATTGTACAGAAAAATGCTTACCTAATTATAGAATTATGAGGCTTTTTTTCTTTTTTTCTTCTTGAGACGGAGTCTCGCTCTGTTGCCCAGGCTGGAGTGCAGTGGCTCCATCTCCGCTCACTACAACCTCCGCCCCCGCAACGTTCACGCCATTCTCCTGCCTCAGCCTCCCAAGTAGTTGGGACAACAGGCGCCCGTCACCACGCCTGGCTAATTTTTTGTGGTTTTAGTAGAGAGGGGGTTTCACCGTGTTAGCCAGGATGGTCTCAATCTCCTGACCTCGTGATCCGCCCCCCTCGGCCTCCCAAAGTGCTGGGATTACAGGCGTGAGCCACCACGCCCAGCCTTTACTAGGTATTTTAAAGAGTACAACAAATTGCTCTTACCTATAGTCATCCTTATATTTTCTTTCAGCTTTTTGTTAAAATCAGCTATAAGTCACTCAAAGACATCTGAGCAGTATTTTATTACTTGGCTATCTTTTCTTAATTTTTATTTTAAATAATTTATATCATAGTTTTTATTCTAGAGAGTTCCTGCTCTCGTTTAAACCACTATTTTCACTGTGTTGTTATAATAATCTTATATAATATATATAATGTCTATATCTATATATAATATATAATCTTGTATAATATTTATAATAATCTTATATAATAATATAATAAAAGTCTCATCTTGACACTTATGTAGTCTCTATGTTTATCTTACTTTTCTGTATTGAATTATTTCCTTTCATCCCCTTCTTCTAATTGATTATTATACAAATATGGTGGCATCCATTAGATTATTTTTTGGCCAAAATAACCTAGGACAAAAATTTACCCTTACATAGCTTATAGTATTGTAGAAATAATTAAGATTAAAAATTTTAAATTGCATGTTATATTTTGAAATATCTCTTCACGATTTACAGGTTTATTACCTCTTGTGTGGAAAATGTGAGATTTTAGTTTTTAATAGTACCTTATTTAAATGGGTTTGCATTGAAATAGTATAGGTTGTTTCCATCCTGTGTGTCAAATAGCTAAGTATAAATAATTGTATAAATTCTGCTTCTTCCAAAAAACAGAGAGAAAGAGAATAATGGGCGGGGGGCGGAGCGCAATGATTGATTACTGAAAACCATACATAGAAACTAAATAGAAACCTGTAACTAAATTTGGTGACAACTGAGACAGAGATAGCCTAAAAACCAGACACTGAAGAAATGTATTCTGTGAGGAAAAAAGTCTGGGGTAAATAATTTTTAAAAAGGTGAAGGAGGCCGGGCGCGGTGGCTCAAGCCTGTAATCCCAGCACTTTGGGAGGCTGAGACGGGCGGATCACGAGGTCAGGAGATCGAGACCGTCCTGGCTAACACGGTGAAACCCCGTCTCTACTAAAAAAAAATACAAAAAAAACTAGCCGGGCGAGGTGGCAGGCGCCTGTAGTTCCAGCTACTCGGGAGGCTGAGGCAGGAGAATGGCGTGAACCCGGGAGGCGGAGCTTGCAGTGAGCCGAGATCCTGCCACTGCCCTCCAGCCTGGGCGACAGAGCAAGACTCCGTCTCCAAAAAAAAAAAAAAAAAAACGGTGAAGGAGGAGGGAGAAACAAACAAGAGACATGATCAGTCAATCAAGTATGAGCTTCAGTCATGAAAGAAGAGGAAAAGCAACTGCTATAACATATGTGATGAAATACACATTATAGAGACTTCTGTTCATACTACATTCCTATCATGCTGATGAGTATTTACACTGTGATTAGTTATTTTGTTAAGACCTGTGTAATAAAAATTTTATTATTATATAAAAAGACATTCACTTAGTTAAACATGGCCTTCAGCCACTACCTAAAAGCTGGAACATTCTTACTACAGAAAGAGGAAAAACGAATGTCTTATAAACTTTTCACCTGAAGAAAGTATTGGTAATCAGAATTCCAAAGAGTAATGTATTGCTTGAAAATATATGTTTAATAGAGCATGCGTTGAGACTAAAATATATTAAAATTTTTAAAATCTAAACTCCACTTGGAGGATACTAGAAAATATAGAGTAACCTTCTTTCCTATTTACTACGTATCTCTGATTTATTGTCTTCTTATTTAAGACATATTTTCTCAACATAACTCACCTGAATTTATGCATTCTAAACATTACAAGAAACTATAAATTTAAGTCATATTTTAGAAATGCATTAGATTTAATTATTAGATATATTATGCATATTATCTTACTTGTAACATTCCATTACATAAAAATTCATTTGTCTGCTTATTTATTCACATTGAAAACCTCTTAAAATGCTTTTTACAGACAAGACTGTATTCTCGGTACTCTACAATGAACACAAGTATGTTTTCTAACCTCCAGTATCTCATAGTGATGCAAGAGCTTCAAAACGATTATTTAAACAAATAATATAATTATTTAATTATTTAAATAAATAATATATATAAATACAAAATCTTTTGAAATTTAAAATTTTCAAATGTGATCAAAGACCTTTGAACAATATGTTTAAAAACCACAATTTAAAAATTCTGAAATTAAAATCTTACCATACACTTATTAAGAGTGTCCACTTCCAGAACTGCATTCTTCATTTAGATGAAGAGTTTAAAGTATACTTTTAAAGAAATAACTTAGAAAACACACTGGCATCCCTTAATAATACAGATTCTTAGAAAGAGAATTTAGAATTCTAAATTTTTTCAGTTATGTTTTAAAATTAGAGATAAGGTTTCGCTATGTTGCCCACACCGGTCTCAAACTCTTGGGCTCAAGCAGTCCTCCTGCCTCAGCCTCCCTAGTAACTGGAACTACCATGCACCACCATGCCCAAATAGGTTTTCACAATTTCTAATATTATTTTGGTGTAAAGAACCAAGAAGAGAAACTGAGAAAAAGCTCTCTCCTAAAAACTACATCATATCAAAGTAATAAGTTCAAAAAAAAAAAACCCTATATGCTATGTGGTACAGTTTGGAAACTGAACAGTATCAGAAAGATTCCTTGATTACTATAACTAAGTAACTGGATCCATTAAAGATAAATGTCAGCATGAGGTTTTTTAAGTTACAATAGAATACTTTTAAAAGTCACAGTAAGAATACTTACTGCCAGGCTGGGTGCAGTGCCTCACGCCTGTACTTCCAGTGCTTTGGGAGACCGAGATAGGAGGATCCCTTGATCCCGGGAGTTTGAGACCAGCTTAGACAACACAGGGAAACTTCATCTCTACAAAAATGCAAATCAGCCAGGCATGGTGGTGCCCGCCTGTAGCCCCAGCTACTTGGGAGACTGATTGTGGGAGGATCTCTTGGGCCCGGGAGTTCGTGGGTACAGTGATCTGCGATTGTGCCACAAACAAGGAATGAGAGGTCCTGTTGCTTCAAAGCCTTGACAGCATTTGACGTTTTCAGTCTTCTGGATTTGGGTTATTATTTGGTTATTTGTGCTCCTGCACTCCAAGCCTGGGCAACAGAATTTCTCTCAAAATAAATAAAAGACTTCTAGTCACTATATCATATCTATGTTGAACTCTTTACACACCAAGCTTGCAGAGTTAAAACCCACAGCGCCCTCTAATTATGTGATGGGGACCATGTGATTAAAGTGGGTGACCATGTTCTTGCTTTTGGTCATTCCAATAGATGTGCAGCGGGAGCTCACTACTGTATTTCCCTAAGGATCATTATATGGAGCATCATTCCAAACGCTTATTTCTTATTTGTATATTTTATTTGGTGACATGCCTGCTACAGTCTTTAGCTCACTTTTTAATGGGGTTGTTTGTTTCTTACTATTAAGTTTTAAGAATATTGGTATATTTTGGATAAAATTCATTATTCAAATATGTTTCTGCAAATATTTTCTTCCAGTCTGTGGCTTGTCTTCCCTTTCAGTGGCTTTAACACAACAAAAATGTGACATTTTAATCAAGTCCAGCTTGTCATATTATTTCTTTTATGTATTGTAACTTCGGCGTTTTTTTCTAGACATAATCAAATCCAAGAGAGTCTAGATTTTCTCCTGTTATTTTCCAGAAGTTTTATATTTTGTATTTGACATTTAGGTCTGTGATTCATTTTGAGTTAATTTTGGTGAGGGAGTAAGATCTGATTCATTTTTTTTACATGTGGATATTAAGTTATTCCAGCACCACTTTCTGAAGAAACCAATCTTTGTTTCATCATATTGCCTTTACTTTTTCATCAAAGATTAATTAAGTATATTGATGTGTCTCTATTTCTAAACTCTGTCTTGTTTCATTAACCTGTCTATTCTTTCATCAATATGATACTGCCTTGATTACCGTAGCTTTTCAGTAAGTCTTGAAGTTGAGTAGTGCCTGTCTGTCCTCCAGCTTTGTTCTCCTTCACTATTGTGTTAACTATTCAAGGTTTTTTCTTCTCCATATAAGTTTTAGAATTACTTTTTCTATATCCATAAAATAATTTGCTTCCATTTTGATTAGAAGTGCATTGAATCTGTACCCTGGGAAGAATTGACCTCCTGATGATATTGAGTTATTCTATTCTTGAATATAATGTATCTTCTCTAACTGTTCAGTTCTTTTTTATTTCCATCATCAGATATGGACAGTTTATGAAATCACATAACTCTCTCTACCTTGACCAAAGGACAGTGATGAATTCCTCATTCTGCAGCCAACAAGTCACCTCTGAGGGCCATGTGTCTAAACATAGACAGGAGGGCAAGAAAATGATAAAGACATCCTGGGAAAAATAGGAAATTCAAGAATCAGCAACTGTGTCTAAGTAACTCCTTTCCATTTCCCCAGGGCACCTGTTGCTTCAGCCAACACCTGCTGGCATGCGCCCAGGCCGCTGGTGCTGCTGGCTTTCCCAGCCCTGCCCCCGGGGCTGCCATTAGGTGTGGTGTAGCTCTTGACCTTAGCAAGAATGTTCTTCTTCATCCCTACCATGGGTGAAATTTTTTCACAAACACTTTTTAAAATAATGCCAACTTTTATATTAGATAGAAGTGCCGCGTGTGCAGGTTTACATGTGTCTTTTTGGTAGAATGTTGTATTTTCTTTTGGGTGTATTCCCAGTAACGAGATTGCTGCGTCAATTAGTAGCTCTGTTTTACATTTTTTTGAGAAATCTCCAAACTGCTTTCCACAGTGGCTGACCTAATTTGCATTCCCAGTGACAGTGAACAGGAGTTTCCTTTGCAGCCTCACCAGCATCTATTAACAAATAACCACTTTTATTCCAGACATAGATCATCTGTTAGTTTTGATTTTAGTACATCCTCTGAAAAAGATAGTGTTTTTCACAACCAAAGATGATTCCTCTTTCCAAACATGTTTTTTTTTTTCTCTCTCTTTTTCTGAAGGCGTGTGGAACATTCTGTCTGCATCAGTTTGGGGTGCAGGTTAAGAGCATTGTACCTTGAAGTGACCCATCTCACTGTCCCCAGGCAGTGTTCTGTCCCAGAACTCTTCACAAGCTTTTTCCCGCTATGGGCCCAGTGTGGAGAGGAGCAGCCCACATAGTCTTTCACCAGGCAAGTGACACAAAGAATTACCACAATCATGTGTGACTGTTCTCAAGGTTCCCAAACATAAAAAGGGGACAGTTTCAGGTAACACAGCTTTATTAATGGCAGTAACATCTCAGCTCAGCAGGAAACATACTGTGAGCTATGAGAACAGGTTACAATGAATATTGAGCCAGAAAAAGTCACATGAATCAGATATTAGCCCCCAAATGCTCTTGCTCAAATGTTAAAGGTCCTTCCTGCACATGTGGCAATGCCAGACTTGCAGAAAGCACACGTGGTGAGAAACAAAGCCTGCTGCCTGTCTGTGAGCTTCAGTGCCCAGTGAGACGCAGCAAGCTTTCGTCTCTTCTTTCTGCACTCCTGCTTTTATTGCACATTTTCATATATGTTTTATTCCGTTTTTCAATGTTGTATTCCATTGGTCTTTCAGACTAATGATGAAACAACACAATTTTTTTTTTTTTTTGAGGCGGAGTCTCGCTCTGTCGCCCAGGCTGCAGTGCAGTGGTGCGATCTCGGCTCACTGCAAACTCTGCCTCCCGGGTTCACGCCATTCTCCTGCCTCAGCCTCCCAAGTAACTGGGACTACAGGCGCCTGCCACGACGTCCTGCTAATTTTTTTGTATTCTTAGTAGAGATGGGGTTTCACTGTGTCAGCCAGGACGGTCTCGATCTCCCGACCTCATGATCCGCCCGCTTCGGCCTCCAAGACAGCACGATTTTAATTTCCAAGTCTTTACAATATTTTAAAGGACAAGTCACTCTCTTTTAATTTTCAGATTTTTCATGGATATTTTAATTTGTTTGCTCTTCTTTACGATAAGATTGTAAGTTAATTGGAGTTAAAATCAACTTATTTTCTTTTCTTTATTTTTTTAACTTCTATTTTAATCTCGGGGGTACACGTGCAGGATGTGCAGGTTTGTTGCACAGGTAAATGTCTGTCGGCAGGGCGGGGTTGTTGTACAGACTATTTCATCACCCAGGTGTTAAGCCTAGTGTCCAGTAGTTATTTTTCCTGATCCTCTCTCTCCTCCCACCTTTCACCCTCCGACAGGGCCCAGTGTGTGTGTTTCCCTTTATGTGTCCATGTGTTCTCATCATTTAGCTCCCACTTACAAGTGAGAACATGCCATATTTGGTTTTCTGTTCCTGCCTTCTTTTGCTAAGGATAATGGTCTGCACCTCCATCCACGCCCTTGTAAAGGTACATATACTGCATGGAATACTAGGCAACCATAAAATCAACTTATTAATTAAAGTACCTTTGATGTCTTAACAATGCTTATCCTGCCTAATCATGTAATGTCTTAATTTTTCATTTATACAAATCTATTTTTATGTTTTTAAGAAATATTTTGCACCAATTCCATACTAATGGAATCATTTAAAATAATTTTCCTTTAAATGTTGGCATTATCTGTTTTCCATCTGTGAACATGAACACAAGACACTCTCATTAATTCAATTAATGTAATTTATTGTGTTAATGAATTTCATAATGCAATGACTCTCACTTGCGTTTCTGGTATAAAGGGATTTCCTAATGATCTAGTATTTTAATGGGTTGGCACAATGGTTTTTAACATTCAAAAATTTTACTTTCATATTAATATGCTCTAATTATCTACAATATTGTATACAGCGTCAAACAAAGTTATATCACTTTTATATATCCTTTCTAAAAACTATTGGGAAAATTGGTTACTTTATAACTATTAAATAGTTTTAAGCATATTGGTATATTAATAAGTTCATGAATAAAATTTTCTTCTGGACAATATAAATTTGGTGCTTTCTTGTGTGGAAAACAAATATTTAATAAATGTCCTGTTTCTTCTATGAATATTACTTAATTCAGCATGTCTATCTGTATGGGCTAAATGATCTTAAAATACATTTCCTAGACTATATATGAGCCACAGTTTAATGTTAATTTGCATTGAAGCACACTATTTTGTCCCTGTTTTTCATTTTAATATTTATCTTTAAGTTCTCTGCACTGTAACCTGTTGACACCTCCTTCTCAAGGTCTTTGTGTGGTCCCATCTATTTACATACAATTCACTAATAGTTTGGCTCAGGAATTTGGGGGTTAACTGAAAATCAGATTTTCAGCAGAGGCAGATCTCAGGGAAGCGCGGAATCCGGTAAGTCACACGTGCTTTGCTGTCAGTCTCTCATGTCCTGTTCTCTCCATGTGAGCCCCTGTCTGCCTCCAAGGATCATGGAAAAACAGAGCCTCTGCCATTTTCACGTCTTTGAAGGTGCTTGGTAGAAAGTTGTCATTTTTCTGGTAATTGGAAACTAAGACAAAGTTATTCCGAAATAACTTTAACTCATCAAATATGTACTGTCCTTGGTGAGATGACAATTGCATTTCTCGGGGGAAGTAAAGTCACAGGATCACAAGCCCTTATCTCAGACCTTTATGCACTCATTGGCTGTTGTGAACATAAACCCGAGCCCATTGTCCCAGTAGCAGAAAGAAATGAGGCGGGTATTTTATGTTTCAATCTGTGAGCAGAGTCTATTGTCTGTGGATCAATAGGCAGAATAAGTGCTCATTCCTGGGGGAAAAAAAGCTCTGGGTCACAAACTGACCAGGGCCAAATCTATGCATGAAAAAGGAAATAATTACTGAGTCATGAGCTTAACTTGTGGGAAAATAATGAATGTCCAAGACCATAAATCAATCCACAAGTGTTCCTAAATTAGCTATATGTAATTCTCACTGTTCATCATTGTTGAATTTTGATGTATGAAGCCATAAAATTTGTTTTCTGGCTGGGTGTGGGGCTTACACCTGTAATCCCAACAATTTGGGAGGCCGAGGAGGGCAGATCACGAGGTCAGGAGTTTGAGACCAGTCTGGCCAACATAGTGAAACCCCGTCTCTACTAAAAATACAAAAAGTTAGCCGGATGTGGTGGTGCGTGCCTATAATCCAAGCTACTCAGGAGGCTGAGGCCAGAGATCAGGAGGCTGAGGCCAGAGAATCACATGAACCCGGGAGGTGGAGGTTGCGGTGAGCCGAGATCACACCATTGCACTCCAGCCTGGGCAATGGAGCAAGACTCCATCTCAAAATAAATAAATAAATAAATAAATAAATAAATAAATAAAGGAAATAAATGTTTTCTGAAGGTTCTGTAGTATAATTTGAAAATTAATCTGATAGCTGTTCTATCTTTTCTACAAGAGTTGGAACATTTCTAGGATTAGTAGAGGTATTTCTAAAATACTTCCATCCCTGTAATAATTTATAAGATGTTGCTAATTGACTGATTTTGTTTTATTCAGAAATAGCAAATACGTATAAGCTTTATACCTACTTTGTATATACTTTGTATTTGGTGGAGACAGTGATTTAGTGGTGACAGAGAACAACAGGTGTCCGCAAATTATGATTAGACTATTTTTCTTTTATTATTTTTCATTTTTAACTTTTGTGGGTGCACAGTAGATGTATATATTTATAAGATTCATGAGATGTGTTGATGATGTGCAATGTGAAATAAGCACATCGTGGAGAATGGGGTATCCATTCCCTCAAGCATTTATCCTTTGAGTTACAAACAATTCAGTCACACTCTTTAAGTCATTTAAAAATGTACAACTAAGTTATTATTGACTATAGTCACCCTGATGTGCTATCAAATAGTAAGTCTTATTTATTTTTCTGAACTTTTTTTTTACCCATTAACCATGCCCACCTCCCAAGCTCTCCACTGCCGTTCCCAGTCTCTGGTAACCATCCTTCTATGCTCTCTGTTCATGAGTTCAGTTGTTTTGATTTTTAGATCCCACAAATAAGTGAGAACATGTGATGTTTGTCTTTCTGTGCCTGGCTTATTTCACTTAATTATTTCCAGTTCCAACCATGTTGCTGCAAATGACAGGATCTCATTCTTTTTAAGGCTGAATAGTAGTCTGTTTTGTATAAGTACCACATTTTTTTATCCATTCATCTGCTAATAGACTCTTAGGTTGCTTTTAAGTCTTAGCTATTGTAAACAGTCCTACAACATAGGAGTGATATACTGATTTCCTGTCTTTTAGATGTATACCAAGCAGTGGGATAGCTGATTCATATGATAGCTCAATTTTTTGTTTTTTGAGGAACCTCCAAACTACATTCCCACCAACAGTGTCCAGGGGTTTCCTGTCCTCCACATCCTCGCCAGCGTTTGTTACTGCCTGTATTTTTAGCGAGAGCGGGCAGCTAATATTCCCGGCTTTGAATCTTTTTAAGCCAATGGTACTCTTTCAAGTGACTCACCAAATTCAGTAAACCTTAACCAAGGTTATAGCTTAATTGAGGTTGCACGTGGAATCTCCAAAGAGGTGCAGACCAGTCCTCACAAGATCCAGAATCACCCCAAAGACAGCTCAAGGAAAGGAAAGTTTTGCTACCTGCAAATAGGATACAACTCACATCGGTTCAGCCG